TCTTGTTATGTTACTTGGCAACTTCTGAGCCCGTGTGTTTCTCCAGCTGATAAATATTTGTGAGGTTGGTTGTGTGAAGAGCAGCATGTGTTAATGATCTGATTGCCTTTTTCCCCGGGCTCCCTGCAAAGGGAACAGGCTCTGCTGCCCATGGGTGGAAAAGGACCTGGAGGTGCTGGGCAGCAGGGACTGGACGTGAGCCCAGGTGTGCTCAGGTGGGCAAGAGGCCACTGGCACCTGGTTTGTCCCAGCTCTGGGGTGGCAGCAGGGCCAGGGCAGTGCCCACCCCTGTGCTGGCACTGCTGGGGCACCTCCAGGGCTGGGGGCACTTCTGGGCCCCTCCCAACAAGAAAGATCTTGAGGGGCTGGGGAGAGTCCAGAGAATGGAATGGAGCTGGGGAAGGGTCTGGAGCCCCAGGAGGGGCTGAGGGAGCTGGGAAAGGGGCTCAGCCTGGAGAAAAGGAGGCTCAGGGGGCCCTTCTGGCTCTGCACAACTCCCTGACAGGAGGGGACAGCCGGGGGGGTCGGGCTCTGCTCCCAGGGAACGGGGACAGGAGGAGAGGGAACAGCTCAGGCTGGGCCAGGGGAGGTTTAGGGTGGACACCAGGAAGAGTTTTTTCATGGAAGGGGTTGCTAAGCATTGGAAAGGGCTTTCCAGGGAGGTGGTGGAGTCACAATCCCTGGAATTACCCAAGGAACGACGGGATGTGGCATTCAGTGCTGTGGTTTAGTTGGGGTGGTGGGTGGAGGTGTTTGGTCAAAAGTTGGTACTTGATGATCCCAGAGGTGTTTTCCAACCTGAATGAGTCTGGGATTCTGACACCTGTCTAACCCTGGAGCACCCTGCTGCCTCTGGAGCATCTCGCTGGCCTGTGATCAGGACTTGGCCCTGAAGGAAAGAGAGGCTCATAATGGGCTCAGACAAAGCTCATCCTTCTGCCTCAGGAGCCACATAAAGCCAGCAGGACCCACATCTTCATGGCAAAACCCCCCCAGTTTTGTGAGATTGAAACTCAGCCAAAATCCCTGCAAACCTGATTCCCAGCCCTGCAGGAATTCCTGCAGCTCCTGCACGGCTCAAGGGGACTTTCAGCTCCCTCTGCCAGGACAGCTCTTGGCTCCAGCCAAACCTGGATCATAAGGCAGGAGCCATCCCAATCTCCTGATAGCTGCCTTAGGAGTTCTCCTTGCTTTCCTTGCTGTTTATGGAGCTCCATGGACCTTCTTCCCACCCATGGTGGGGCTCATCCCGGTCCTTTCCCCCATGGAGGTGCCCAGGGCTGTGGGGTGATGGAAGAGCTGAGTTTTGGGTGCTTTGGGGAACCACCTGGATTATTGCAGCATCTCAAGGTGCTTGGCCCACCACCACCTCCTCCAGGATGAAGCATCACAGCCCACCCACGGCTCCCGGTGCCGCCGTGTCCTGCAGGAACCGTGGAATCCTGGAATGGTTTGGGATGGAAGGGACCAGGGACGCCACTCCCCAGAGCAGCTTCCTTGGAAAGGGCTCCCACAACCAGAGGATGAATCCAGGGGTCCAGCATGGCTTTACCCATGGAGCAGAGGTGTGGGGCAGCCAGAGGGGTTGGGGGGTCCCTGCCTGCTCCCCAGTCCCGAGGGCAGGGATGTCTGGGCTCCTGGCCTCGTGCCTCCATCTCACTTTCAGATCCCTCAAATAATAACCGTGTTTGCCAGCTCCTGTGACAGGAATGACTAATGGGAAAGATCCTCTGTGAAGGGAAACAAGAAATCTCCTTGTTTCACCCTTTGTTTGCTGGATTTCTCTGACAGCCCCGGGCATGGCTCAGTTCCCCTTCGGGAGAAAGCAGATTTTAACCCCTTCAACAGCTCCAGCAACACCCTCTTAACTCTAAACCTTCCCTGTCGGGATATAACTCCCTTCAGGAACTTTTTTGCAGCTAGTTTATCCACATTTCTGCTCCATCCACATGGAGTTATCACGCAGCGAGTGCCTCCGACTGCTGATGCAACGTGGTTTTCACAGTGCATGTGGAAAACACCCTCCCCATCTGCCTGGCTTTTTGCAAGTCAGGGGGACCCGGCTTTCTGCCTCTTTTCCCGTTTTTCCAAGGGATGGGTGATGAAAGGTGCCCTTCTCACGGTGGTGGAAGCAGCAGGGGATGCCCAGGGCTGATGCTGCAGCCCTCAGGGAAGGAGGGCTCTCCCAGTCCCACCTCTTGTAGGACGAGCTACTGCTCTCTCCCAGTTGTCCACAGCCAGATGTCGGACTTTCAGACCCTCCTTTTAGATCTGAGGGGGCTGGGAGCTGATCCCTTGGGACGCCAGCCCGGTGACCCGGCAAGGAAGAGTTTGAGGAGGAGGGGGATCTTCTCCCTGAGTGGAGACATGAAGCCACACAGGCACCGCGCCGCTTTTTAAATGCCCACCCCTGCTCCGAGGAGCCAGCGGGGACAATTTCAACCCTTCCACACTTTCCTCCTCCTCCCTGTTGCCATCCCAAGGCCGGCACTCGGGACAAGGCGCCCGCTCCCCTTGCGTGAGCCCGGACACGGCAGGCAGGGAATCACACCGCTCCGGCATTTCCACGCCTGTTTGCAGCCCCGTTCGCCTCCCAGCCTTTGCAGAAAATAAATTCCCCAGCCAGGCTGAACTCGGATGACAGCATCGCTGCTATATTTAGCCGCGGCAGATCGCCGCTCCAAGCGGGGCCACACATAAACAAACCCCCGGCGCACGGAGAGGGCACGGCCGGGGGAGCGCTGCGGGATGGAGCAGCCCCCCGGTCCTGCCTGCCCCAAACTGGGGGTGCCCTGCGTTCCCTCTCCGTGCCAGCACCTCCCCGGAGGGCTCAGCGAGGGCGCAGTCCCCCGGAGGAGGCTGGAGGATGAAGGAAGTGCTGGAGGGCGCTGGAAGCAGAGCGTGGAGAGCTGGGGGAGTTGCCAAAGGTTATCGCACGGGGCAAGTGGCATCCCCCGGCTGGGACTGGACCCGCTGGCTCCCAGCTGGAATTCAGCAAGCTGTCGACATTCCCCCCACCTCCTCCCGTGGACTGTGCTGTGGGGCAGAAAATGCCAGAAAAATGCCCCGCTGCAGCCGTGCCCGCCCTTCCCAGCTCCGCTGCACATCTCCCTGCAGCCTTTCCTGCCTGCTCCTCTCCCTGCCCGACCCTCTGCCGTGGCGCCTGGAGCCCCACGGGGATCCACGGGGTGTGGAGCAGAGGGAAGAGGTTGTGGATGTGCAGCAGGGTCCGTGCCTGGCTCACTGACAGGCCTTGTCCTCCTTCCCCAGCTCCCCGCGTGGGGAAGAGGATGGGGATGCTCGGGGTGTTCCAGGGGATGCTCGGGGTGCTCCAGGGGATGCTCGGGGTGTTCCATGGGATGCTCGGGGTGTTCCATGGGATGCTCGGGGTGTTCTATGGGATGCTGAGGGTGCTCCAGGGGATGCTGGGGGTGCTCCAGGGGATGCTCGGGAGTGTTCCAGGGGATGCTCGGGGTGCTCCAGGGGATGCTCGGGGTGCTCCAGGGGATGTTCGGGGTGTTCCATGGGATGCTCGGGGTGTTCTATGGGATGCTGAGGGTGCTCCAGGGGATGCTGGGGGTGCTCCAGGGGATGCTCGGGGTGCTCCAGGGAATGCTGGGGGTGCTCCAGGGGATGCTCGGGGGCTGCTTAGCGGGGGAATGCTCAGAGGGTACTCAAGGAATGCTCAGGGGGGTGTCCAGGAGGGTGTGGAGCATCCAGCAGCCCAATACCCTCCTCTGAAGCAGAGGGTTCATCTGGCCTGGGGGGCCGCTGGCAGCCACAGGTCGCCAGGCTCTCGCCTCGGCTCCGAGGAGGGGACGGGGCTGCAAAGAGGGTCCGGGCTCCCCCCCGGGCACACCCAGAGCCGCGGATGGGGCTCTGTGCTGCAGTGCAGCAGCTCCAGCCCCGCTCTCTCCCGGGGAGGTGACAGAGGGGATGCCCACCTTCACCCTCCCTTCATGGCAGCGCCAGCTCCGCCTGCTCCAAACCCGGCTCTGCCAGGCCAGCGAGCGGGATTTGCCGTCGGGAGGAGCAGCAGCCCTCTCCTGTGCTGCTGGGGATGGAGCCCGTGCAGCCGGGACCCCCGTGCAGCCCTGCCTCGGGGGCCGCGATGGGCGAGCGGGGAACGCTCGATCCCCTCCAAGCCGGGGAGGCACCGCTGCCTCCTCGGGTGATGTCCCAAGCGGGGATCCCCTTGTCGGGGCGGGCGGGAAAAGCTGGATGCCCGAGGAGTCCTCGCAAAGCCGGGGAGGCATCGGCGCCTCCCGGGGTGAAGCCTGAGGCGGGGAGCCCCATGTCGTGACGTCCCCCCACGTCCTCCCTCCCTCCCCACCGCCGCTGCTGGGCGAGGGCCACCCAGCACCGAGGCAGATGACATAATTCCCAGCAACTGCACGTTAATCACTCGGCCGCCAGCAAGCTCCTCGCCGTGAATCCAACCCCCAGCCCCAGCCACCGCTCCCCTCCCTGACATCACTGCCGAAGAAATAAGGAAATAAATAAAAGAAGATGAGGAAAAGGTGACGAGGGGGAAATAGCCTGGCGCTGGCACTGGCACACAGGTCTGCACCCCCCACCCCCGCCGCTCCTCCCCGCCTCGCACTCTATTTTTGGGTGCTGTCACATCCCAATGGCCCCGCGGGGCCAAATCCAGGCAGCTGCGACTTTAGGCGCAAACACGGCTCCCTCCCCTCCATCACACCCGAAATCGGCGCTGGCAGCCCATCCTCCACCCCACCCCCCTCCCCAAAATCCTCCCCTC